ACATGTACAGATCACAGAACCATAAAATGGCCTGGGTTGCAAGGGTTCATCTAGTTCCAACCCTCCTGCCTGACACCTTTAACTAGACCATGTGGCTCAGAGCTCCATCCAGCCTGGCCTTAAACACTTCCAGGGATGGGGCATCGCAACTTCTCTGGGCAACCTGTTCCAGTACCCTTCCACCTTCACAGTAAAGAACTTTTTCCTAATATCTAATCTAAACCTGCCCTCTTTTAGTTTGAAGCCATTCCCACCTGTTCTGTCACTACATGCTCTTGTAAATAGTCTCAATCTTTCTTGTAGGCTCCCTTCAGGTACTAGAAGGAAGAGCAGGTAGTTTTATTTAACCACACAAGGAAGAAATACAAGGAAAAAACCCAACCATATGATTATGATCTTGCTCATGAATTGCTCATGTCTCACTCTTGCCACTACACACACCGTCACCAGTAGAAAATGATATCAGAGCTATTGGCTCAACACAGACAAGGTTTCCCCTAGGGAAGAGTCTGGACCATAATAAGTACTGAAAGTAGAAAGTGTAATTAGAAATTTTAAAAGGCAGTAATTACCACTTCAAATTGCTCTGTGTTTTGTAAAACATGTCTCAGCAAAAACTGTGGTAAAGGGCAACCGGGATAAAAGGAAGAACTAAGCAACAGAACTAGTATTTTAATGGGCTTCTATCATGGACAGTCTGCTAAACAAAAAAATGCCAACAAAACCAAAATTAAAAAAAATCCCAACAAATAACCAACTGACTCTGTTAAACATATAAGCTTCAAAAGAGAGCAATATGGTAGGAGATCAATAAAAATGAACAAAGTGCAGCCCAGTTAAAGGCCTCTTATGCAATCATGTTGCCAGATAATAGCTATATATCGACTAAGCAATGGGATAGCTTCTACCCCACACCTTTGTGGCTACCAGCATTTAACCAGCATTGCATCGTGCCGGAGCTGAGACACCAGAAATCATTGGTGGTTAACAGGTCCTTGCTGTTCCTCAGAAAGAGTCATGTTCACATTGTTTATCCTATTTGTTTACTGACCCCAACATCCTTGATCCTATTTGCTTCCAGGCAAGAATAAACAAACACATTAAATAAAAGCCAAATCAATAAAAAAAGATAAAGCACTGTAAAGAGAGAAGGAAACAAAAAAAACCCTCTATGCATTAAAAAATTTTTATTTTTAACAATATGTTCCATAAGCTACAAGGAAGATGGTCCATGACAGTCTTCTGAGATACAATTCATATTCTAAAAGTAGTTTAAATACCTCAAATTTAGTAATATGCCACAGTACATAACTTGAGGATCTAAGTTTCGTCTATCACATGCCCATATACAACTACATTTAAAGAAAAATTTAAAAAGGATTACATACAGTTACCCAGGCTCCAGTCACCTGCAAGCAAGAACAGGTACATGCTTTGCAAGTACCTCTTCAGTATTTCAGTCAGCACATAAAAACTATGGATTTTAAGCAGGGAAGATGCAAGTAAGAAGGTTTCAGCCTTCTCACCCTGCTCTAGTTTATAGACACTAAGGGTGAGCTTTATCTCACCTAACTTTGGACAGCTGTGGTGCAGGCACTTGGACATGAGCTGGGAACCCCAGGTTTCAGAGCCAACAGACAGAAATGGTATTTCTAGTGCACAGTTTCCCTCTCCAGTTTTAGGCTCTTGTGCTACAACAGGGTGAGTCATGCTCTAAAACCATCTATTTCTCTGCATTGACTATAAAAGAGGGGAGGCGTTGGGGTGTTCTTTTCTGATGTAGGCAACTGTGTCCCACATACCCATCAGCAAAATAATGTATTTCTAATACAAAGGTGGTTCTGCATGCACTAACCAAAAGGAAGAGCACAAACGATCCCAAAGTTTAAAAAAAGTCCCAAATTAAAGTGGATAAATCAGCAATGATTTTCAAGAATTGACACAGAGATCCATAGAAGAATAATTTCTGTATTTTTAACTTTTGCCTACTTCTGCTGTTTCATCTTTCTCATGTAAAATACAGTTAAAGTATGACACCCTAGCTTTGCCAAAGCTTTGACTTGACTTCAACCCTTCTCCCCTGTCTGCTGGATACATACAGGAGTTGAGCTACTGCTGAAACTCTCTCAAATTTCAGATACCAAATTCCTTGCTGTAGTTTGTCTACAAACCCATCCTGTAGACTGATCTTTAACAATTCAGAGGAGTGCAAAGCTTCATACAGATGCTGAGGTCCTTGGAAAGTCCCATGAGCAGGTCCCTGAAAGCACTGGTCATGCTGCATAACCCCCTGAAAACTGAACCGTCTCCTCCTCTAGGGGCCAAAGACAGCAATCTTCCTTCCTGCTCACAAATTCTTCCAGTGTGTTTGACACGCTGACCAGGTGTTTCTTTTTTTCTCTCAGAATTGTCTCATCAGCTGTCACCAACTGACAGAAGATCAAAACACCATTCTGGTAATGGAAATGGTAAATAAGGAAGGGGACTTCTGCTTTGGAACTGCCTTCTCATACCACAAGTCTTCTAAGGAAAATAACTTGTCCCAGAAACGTGGTGACTAGTTTCTAACTGGCATGGAATAAATCTTGTGCAAGTGAGAGATGAGTGGGAAGAAATGTCTGCAACAGAGAGGAGAAGGGAAAAGCTATATGGAAAAAAAAAAAGAAAAGAAAAAGAAACCTCAGGGAAAAAAAATCTGTCTTTTTAACCAAAGGACAGAATTCAGACACACAATGCAGATGGCTACTTATCAAAAGAGAAAACAAAAACAATACAACCCAAAACTAAACAAAACTAAGTGAATGACCTTAGTGACTAGAAAATGGCCTTCAGTTTTCTCTTGCTGAAGGTTCCTATGTGGAGGCAGAGGCAGCCTCTTGGCTTTAAAGGCATTCCCATGGCCAGCATCTGAAGGATGCCGCTTCTTTTCCTGGGGAGACAACCTCATTACAGATTCCACAATTTTCCTTAAAGTCTTCATAAAACTGCAAGTGGGTAAGGGGGAAAAACTTTCTGCGGAAGCTGGAAATAGACAAAACATTAAGACACTGGTCTTGACCAGGTGACAATGTTTCAGAAAGCCCATGGTGACACTGGGGAATGTGGAAGAGCAAACTGAAGCACGAGATGACGGTGCAGAAGTCATGGCCCAACCCAAGGGCTTCGACCTCTTTTCTGTGGAAGAAAGAAAGAGAGAAGCATCCCTCAAAGAAACAAAACGGTCTTCAAGCACTGGTTACTACACACATCAGAACCTCTTGAGAGAGCGTCAGAGCAGTCATGCCGGGAACTCTGTTACCAACTTAATGGTTGTAATGATTCAGCTTGCCCCTGGTACCATTTAAAGCTTCCTAGTATGGATCTAGCCACTCTGGCTGCTTTTATTTAACATTTTAAATTAAGAATGTCCTGATCAAATATCACATTAGCTGTAAGTCCACAAAGAACTAAATGAAAAGACATTGACAGAAGAAGCTGCAGACAGGAAGAGAAGTAGGTTTAAGAAGCAGCACTGACTCAGCCAAAGCCTGTACAAGGTCCTGTACGGTTTTATCTGTGCAATTTCTCCCTCTCTTCCACTCTCTCAACAAAAATATAACCCAAACAAAGGAAAACAAGCAAACAAACAAAAACACACAAATAAGGAAAAATAGCAAACCCTCTATTTTAACCAGATCTCTGACATGTAGCAGAAGCCAGACACGTTATCAGTAGCCTTAGCACAAGCCACTTGTCCCCTTCTCAAAATTATGAGGATATTTTCTTCCTATTTCTTTCTCACCATACATTTACTGTGTAATAAATGAAACCTTCAAGGAAAAAAAATCATTCTGTTCTAAATTGCAAAGGATAAAGTTGATAAGAGCAAGCCTTTCCCGTTCACATGGGTCCATGTGACTGAGCCCCTCCCACTGGCATTTGCCACTGACTGCTGAATGCTTACATTTGCAAATGGACTGTTCATAATTTACGGTTGTTTAACCAAGACTTAAAAAAAAAAAAAATTAACAAAATAGCCATGAATTATGACTTCCCTGAAATGCTGAGCATAGCTGCCATTTAGACCCTGAACCTCTCCCCCGCAGCTGTTCCATGTCCCAACAGCTCTTGGCACAGCTGAGCTCCAGCCAAAGCTTTGTCAAGAAGAAAAGTACCGTGATCAAAAAAATGCTTTTGCCCAACAGAGAGAACTTACAAAGCTAAAATTTTTGAAAAGTACACAAATTATGTTATCCATCCTTAAATACACCTAATCTATCCAGATTCTAAAAAGTTTCAGAGTAGCAGTAGCTCCTATGTGGTAAGAAGCAGATCCATCAAGTATAAACAAGAAGCAGGCTTTTCAGGTTAATGCTGTACTACGAATCCTTGTCCGAACTAAATCTTGCTCCAGCTTCCCAGGTCTTTACTCCCGCAGTCTTTGCAGGACTCCTCTTCTACAACTGAGTATTCAAGATCTACCTTCGTGCAGCTAACTAGCTGGCTACCTGCATCTTTGATATCTGAACTAAGTCAACTCAGTGATTTAAGAGGAGCTTGCATCTGACTGTTTGCAGAGATGGGCTTCCTGCTTTGATTTCATCACCTTTAAGCTTATGCTACAGGATTCTTTTTTGCCTTAGGCTTCACCTGGAGCAGAATTTAGTAGGGTTATGAGATGAAAATCATGATGAAGTTTGTTCTGAAGCTGAAGAAAGCTCTGTTAAGGGAGGTTTTATTGTCCTATTGAGTGCTCTTTAGTATTTTTAAAGTTTTTTCAGGTGCACATCTGAAGAAATTGCAAGGAGAACACATGGCTAAACTGAACAAAGTCTGCTCACACTTACCCCTTCCAGGAACCACACTACTGAAGTAACCCTCCCCATCTCAATTCTCCCCTTTCCCATTGGCTTGTAAAGTAAAGACAGCAACGAACAACCAACAAAGGTAATAAGTAAGGCTCATTTTTGACTACACTTGTGCAATTCCCATATCTAAATCCCCAGGCTACCACAAGCTCCGGAAAAATACAGGGAAGGAAGTTACATTACGAATTCCATCCAAAACTGAGTTAGCGCTTTAGACAGACAACACTCAGTTCATTGAAATGATCGCATGACTCTGACAGCAGAAACAGGCCAGTGACCCAGCCACATATTGGGCCATACAGAAAAACAGAGACTAGATTATAAAGCCAAAAATATGTTTTTTAAACAGAGGAGAATAAATGCTTTTCACATTAAAAAAAGAGGAACAGTTTGTCATGGTACTTCTCAGCTTTTAAGAACTGTTTCTCCACAGTACCCAGACACCTAATTTCTTATTAATAAATGCAAACTCTACAATTAACCACCAGCTACAGACGAGCACCTGATTTTTACAACAGGAATCTGACACTGAAGCTTCAGGACTCAGGATGAGGTTTAAATAATAACATCTAACTGAGAACCTATTCAGGTAGAAATAGGCATATTTTCTCCACAGTGTGAAAGAAACCAATTCAAACTACATTCAAGCCTATTTCTGAATAGTTAGCGTGTAATAACACAATTTAGAAATCAATCTGTAAATAACAGCGAGCAGGTACATACTGTCCCTTGCAGTCATCTACAGTGTTACCATTACTTTTGTTCAGAATTTTATTCTAGCATACTAGAGAAGTTGAAACTAGTGTAAAATACCAGAATCTGGGGAATTCTACATCACACACGCATGGATTCTACTGGCACCAATCAGCAAAACAGAAAAAAACATTTTTGGAGGAGCATGTCTCTGCAATACTGCAGAAGTTACAGCATTTCAACCAATTTCTGTTCTGCCCATGCAAGTTACAAGAAGCAACAGGAAGCTTTTGAAACAGCACAAAGATCTGCTGCAACAATAATGACCTCAATGTTTCCTTTTTGTGTTTAACACCACATTTTTTCCTCATTTTTCACTCTTAGCACCGACTTGTACAAATATGGTTTTTTACACCATCCCATACCTGCTGCTCATCCTCCATGACGTTGCTGGCAAATTCAAACACAAGCTCATTCTGCTGTACAACTGCTGCCATGATAACGCATTCCCAGGTCTCAGCTCCACATACAAAGAAAAATGTTCCCGAGTGCAAAAGAATGGAGAGTGTCACCGAGGTCCAGCTGAGCAGAAAGGCAGGATCACAAAATGAATTGAGTATCAGCGTTTGTATTTCTTAGATCATCAGTGTTCCTGGGTTCTTCTCTTCTCAAAGTGAAACAAACCAAGGCAAATCCTTTCCTGAGTTGCTCTTCCCACCTCGGTATCCTTTATCACTGCAGAGAGAAAAATAAAAAAATTATCATTAAAAAATTATTACTTTAGCTATGTGAAATAGTAGCAGTTGCAATAAAGCAGTAAAACTGTTCTATATTAGTCTAAGGAAGTCAAACATTTTTGTGTCTCCAAAGGTATTAGTTTTACTGATAAACATATGTGAATTTTCATTCTCTGAAACAAATTTTCATTCCTGAAACAAAACTGTTTCAGGAAGTAAGACATCAGTTTCAAAATGTTTCATATTAAAGGCGTGCGACTAAGGAAAGGTTACAAAAGTTAACAAAAAGAAAATCCATGTGTCATTTGATTCATATATGCAGTTTCCACATTCATTAGTAACTCTCATCTTTACAGTTAATTCAAAGAAAAAATACAAACCCCAGACTGACCTACTCAGCTGAAGATATCTCAAGTACATCACCTTTCTTCTTCACACACGGTTCAAATTTAGTAAAGTTGTTATTTTGCAAGTAAAGCGCTCTAGATCTTTCCCAGTGTGAAAATGACGAAACCAGTAAACAAATTCTTTGAACAATCCAGAGTCCCCAAGTTCCTACATGAAGCAGATCTTCAGCTTCATGTTAAAAATGTGCTGTAAATGAACCCTTATCTCTACCACAGGCTCGCAAGCAGCCGGAAGGAAACAGCACTGACCACGTCATGGCAAATTAGAACTGGCAAAAAAACCCCTGCACAGTACAAAGCAAAAAAAAAAAAAAAAAAAATTCCCAAACGACAGAATGTAAACAGCTTCAGTGAAGGGATGCGTACCTACAGATCCCATGTTTTCACTTACTCATCAGCACCAAAGGTAAACATGGTGAACATGAGCTTATGAGGAGGTTGCGCTGCTCCACTTCTGGTGAAACAGGCCAGTGCAAAACTTCATCTTTGTATACAACTACGGTGACCCACACACTAACAAAAAAATCTACCATTTCAAAAGGATAACAGGAGCAGGTGTCTAAAATTAGAAACCCAAGAGAGTATGTTGGTGCCCACAAATTTAAATCCATGCATTTTAAAGGAAGTAAAATGTGTGGTTCCTAGCATTTTGAGCAAAATTCTTTACACTGCCTTTGACTAAGGGCTGCTGTGACACAAGATTAAGGGCCAGAGGTCTGTCTAACACATACTCATCCAGAGTGAGACCCCCAAGAAAGCCTCTGGGCAACTTCAGTGCCATTGGCAAGGATCAGCATCTGCCTTTGTACAGGAGGTTTAACTTGGCCTTGTTTTTGCAGTAGGCTGAAAAATGAAGGGCATCTTTCTCTCCCCAGTGCCAAGCAATTTAATTAGGGAGGACCATGTCAGAGACTCATACTCCTTCACTCTAGGAAATGTAACAGCTGTTTTTCCTATATAGATTGTGGTATTCCCAAATTCCTAAGTAGTGATGGCAGAGCATTCAAGCATTTAAGTCACTAGATCCTACTCTTCTAAGAAATCAGGAAACCCAAGATTATGCAAATAGGAGAACCTCCCAAACTTCTAAAGTGTGCTCTAATTAACTAAAGGGCTCATAAGAGTAGCACAACCCTAACTAGACAATATTTGCTTTAATGAGAGCCACATGCATGAACAGAGAAGGACGTGCTGTGGGAACCATGACTACTCAAACTCAGTCCTTGTCATTTTGCTGGTTGACTCGAACAATTAACACAGCTTTCTCCATACTTCAGCAGGGTTATGGCACTTGAAAACACTACATGCAACCATATAATCTTGGGTGACTTTCCCAAATGTAATTATTTGGCCTTCCCTTTTAGAAAATAAGGATAGTTAGGAAGTTAGACACACATTGCCAGCACAGTGGGACTGAGCCCATCTTGGCATATCCTAGACTCCTACCACCCTGTATTCCAGCATAAAAATAAAGTACATAACTATATAATACATAGTTTAATATTTCCTACAGACAGTGATTGAAGTGGGTCAATCTATGTCAACAGGGACACACGAGTTCTTTCAGAAGAGAGAACAGGTATGGAAATTTATTGAAGTACAACCTTTATTTTGATTACTGCTTAGAAATAAATTGTAACTCTCCAATAGGATTAAATAATATTTTAAGTCACTCCCTCTAATCAGTGAAGAGCAACTTCACTCTAAAGGATCACAAGACAAATACAAGAATCTCCTCAGTTACCAAATGGAACCTATTTTCCAATGAGGGTTAAGCGAATTGTCCAGGGACAATCACAGCCAGAATACTGCCAGGGCTTATAATCATGGCCATTACACTAACTGAAGCCACATGTATGAACAAGAAGTACAAGTTCTTAAGATCCAGTAATTTTCTAAGGTCAGTAACAATTAATAGCATCAATGTAAAATCAGGATAAATTACAAGTTAGAGAGACAGGCTCTCTAGCAATCTCATGACATATAAGGAAGAGTGGCTTCACCTCCAGTTTAAGATAGATTTTAAAAGTTCCCCATGTGCACTGACAAATAACATTTTCTTCCATTAATGCCAAGTTATTCGTCATTCTGTAAAATATTAATATTTTACAGTAGATACTACAATGCCAAGATGCACCCTAAATGAGTAAAATCCAAAAGCTGCAATCGCAAACTTCCTAAAAGCCATAAAGAAACATTTCCTTACTTTATTTAAAAAAAGAAATAATAAAACCTCCAATGCAAAACTAATCATCATGATTTAATACCATTTAAGAGAGTGTAGCAGCGTAACGCATTTGATCCACATAAGCACTACTTAAACCAGTCACACTTCATGCTAACATGAAGTTTCTAATCATCTGATACCACTGCAGGAACAGGCATTCAAAAGCTGTTTTACGAATCCTGCCCCGCGGTGATGCAGTGATGTAAGTATATTCCTTCTCCCTTACAACCCCTCCCCAAAGCTACCAAGGACTCTACAAATAAAGTCAAATGATATCTAACCTCAACCTTAGGACCAAAAACAAAGAGAAGCGATTAAACAGGCTTTAGTAAGCTTTTAAATCTAACCTTATAAAGATTAGGGACTCAAACTATTATTATTTGGATAAACTATTATTATAGGATATTTTTCATTACTTCTGTAGCAGTACATAGTAACTGCAAATGACATACTGGGCAATAATGGTACGGCAAAATAATGCAAAAGTACTTTCTTTTAATCCATATCCTTTTCTCTGCCATATAGAAAACAAGAGCAGCTTTTCACAGAAGCCAGCAGAATTCTAAAACAGCTATATTTTCCTCCACATCTATTCTTATAAACTGTACTTTCATTATTCCAACTATCACAGGGTCCTGCTGTATATAGGCTAACACAAACATGGCTATTGTTTTTGCTAAATAATGCCACTTATTTGATTTTACATACATCTGTGAGTAGAAAATAAGTTATTTGCAAACAGCATAAAATGTGTAAATTGTATTCACATGCACAGTAAGCTTGATTACATACAAATAATCCTAGGAGAAAGGGAACCCTGTATCTATTACCATAAAATTTACATCAAATTTTCAGAGTTTCAGAGGAAGTAAGGGTTTGCTTTCATTTTTACTAATTGTTGTAAAAATATATTATAAAAAGGAGCCTTAAGACACCACAATATAAAAAAACATAAACAATATAAACAAACATTTTACTTAATCCTTGAAACTGAACTAAAAAATAAATTACTTCAACCCCTCTGGAAATTCCCCTCATCCACTGATTTCAACATCTAGAAACAACCTCCTCAGTCAGTCTGTCAAAAACCACATTCAGTCAGTTTAACCCTTGGTACATGCTACTCCGGTATCCCAGAACATACATTGTAGTATTCCTTCCAGCTAGACATCATAATTTTTTTTCCAATCACTCTTCACCATATATACCCTGCACTTAATCCTAGCCCTGTTGAGCCACTAGCTCAGAAGCTTGTAGGAAGTGCTTCCAGAATCAACATTTTTGGTCACAGCTGCAATACTGAAACTAGGTTCCAACTTCGAAGTAACAAAGCCATCTTTTTTCCATATAACTTTTGAGCCAATAGAGCCCATACTACAACTGTGACAATATGAGCCAGTATAGCCCACACTACCTCAGCATTCAAGCCCTGTAATGCAGAACACTGGAATTATTAACATAGTGGCACCACACTGGAGCAGGTGTAGCAGGTATCAAAGTACCAGGCACAAACCCAAAAATTTGCTGAAGAATCTCAGCTATGAACTTGGAAGGCTTAAGTCTTGCTACTGAGAGTATCCTGGCTGAGCTGAAAGATGTCTCCAGCAAGCTACTGGACCCAGTCCCATTTAGGGTTACTAAAGATGACTGTAATCATCCTGCACTACCTTTTTCATGAAACTAGTAAGATCATTCATACATCAGAAATAAGAACCAGCTTAGCTGCCTTAAGATTCAAATGCAGATCTGAATCCTGAGTTACTGATGAAACAGCTCAAGTCATTCAGCACAGGGACAAATGGCTTGAGATTGGAATTTCCCCTTGATTTCCTGAGAGAGTCTGCAGCACTAGCTCTAGCCTAGGAATGTCAAAGTTGTGACTTAACAGAAATACAAAGTTGAATGAATTCTCTTCTCAACACCATCTTGGATGCAGGAGGAAGAGAGGAGTGAATGAGAAGAAAGGGAAGATTAAAGACATTACCAGGAAATTTTGAACAGAAGGACTGAAAATCATCTCACGTGAGGTCAGACAAACACATGGATGGTAACCACACCATTTCACTCAAGCTTCTAACTCCATTCTACCAGTGGAGGTTAAGGATGGATCAACCCAGAGTCAGTCCCCCTCTGCAAAGTCACATCTCAAAGATACTGTCCAGGTATCATTGTAGAGTCAGGTTTTCTTAAATAGGGGGGCAAAGCTGAATGACATCACAGTTCTTTCAATACAGAAATCCCAAACCCACAATGATCTCTATGTATAGTCCACACTAAGCATAAATGTTAACAGTATAGTCTATTGTGCTGTTCTTCATGGACTAATTATCCCTATTTAGTAATATTACAAAATTGCACAGGACAGGGGCTTTGAACCATGTTCTCAGACCAAGGGCATCTTCAGTAGGCAAAATGACAAGCAAGAAGAACAAGTCACTTGGCACAAGAAGTTTCTGAAGGCTCAGTATTTCAACTGCTCACACAAATTAAAGGAGATAGAAAAACAACATGGTAAGGGGGTAGCACCGAGGAAGGAAAGAACCAATGTAAGAAACAGACTCAAACCTTTTGAGAGCATCCCCACTGCCTATGGCAAACTGTGCTGAGCTTTCATTAAGGACAAAAAAATCATCAGTATCAATAAACCCCTGTTTTGCAGCCCAGCTGAAAATCAGCCTGTGTCACCACAGGCTCTCAGTACCTATATGGAAAGGGGAACAGAGAGTAAGAAGATTCATCTGTTAAACATAAACAAGCATAAATAACCAAAATTGGCACACAATTCAGTCAACATAAAAGAAATCAAATGAACCCCGTCAACCCTAAATCTCACATGAAAAATTTACTCCAAAAAGAGCAAAAAGCACAAACACAAACAATGAGTTCACCATCACACACATACAAAAATAATCACATTTTCATCTTTT